ATCTCTTCGCCATCCATCCTGATGTTGCCAATTGGTCCAGTGGTGAGAATCTTTGTCTTCTTGATATTGAGCCTCAGTCCGTACTGAAGGCTACAGTCCTTGACCCTCTGCAGCAAGTGCATGAGGTCCTCCTCAGTTTCAGCAAGCAGGGTTCTCTCATGTGCATATAACGCAGTTACTGGATCTTTCACCAATCCTGATGCCACAGTTCTCCTCATAGAGCCCAGCCGTTTGTTTTTTTTTTAACTTAAGAGTAGTGCTTTTGGAAAAGGAACTGAGTTCAGAAACTTAAAAATATATTCATTTTCTTAATGCAATAATTTTGGTACAGTTTTATAATTTATTGTCAATTGATATTTTTCAATTTTTTCATTTTAGTGATGATTTACAAAGAGTTTGATTTTATTGATTCATTCAATAGTTGCTTGTGGTGTTTTGTGACATTTATGTAAGTGTACAATTCAAAGAATATTTCTAACTGAAAACACCCATGTAACTGGCATATAAATTAAAAACAATAGAATATTGACTGCTTCTCAGAAGCCCGCTGGTACCTACTTCTAATCACTACTTCTGCCCACCCCAGAACCACTCTCTTGACTTTTCACTACATTGATTGGTCTTACCTTCCTTGGTTCTTCAAATGAATGGAACCATATGTATTCTTTTATGACTGGCTGCTTTGGCTAACATCATGCATCTGAGATGCATCCATATTGTTGTGTGTAGACACTTACATTTTCCTCAAGAGAGACATTGATATATCTTTGCATGACTACATGAACATTCTCATTTGAGTGACCCATTTGGGAGGATCAATAATATGCCATTATGAACAGAGAGAGAAAGAAAGTGCTGAAGGAGAGGACCAAGCATATAATTTATTTACATATTCTTTAATGATTAATATAGAATCCAATTTATTAGTCTATTAAAAAATACACACCCTCTTGAAGAAGAAGGATTTACTTGGTGTCTTGGTCTAAGGCATTTTCATATCATATCTAAGGAAAGAATTACTCCCTTCTAACCGGTGATGACTGTTAAAATTTTTTATTTTCTTTTTTTAAATTGTGTTTTGAGTGCATGTTTACAAAACAGATTAGTTTTCCATTCAGCCCTTCATGCACATTTTATTTTATAACACTAATTACAATAAACACAAGAAGTAACGAGTCTGTGAAAGAGATGCAGACCCTCAACAAGAGAGATTGACACAATGACTGCAGCAATGGGCTTGAGGATGGTGTGGGATCAGGAAGGATATCCATCTGTTCACAGTGTTGCTATGAGTTGACTCAGAGATTATGAGGATGGAGCAGGATAGCGCAAGGTTTTGAGCTGTTTTTTGGTAGGGTTGTAGTGAGTCATAGTTGAATCAGTGGCACCTAACAATAACATTCCCATAATGTGGGTACATGGCCAGGAGGGTGCAGTCCTTGGAAAAGGACATTCAGGCCATAGTCTTTGAAATTGCTTGCTGTGCATCAGAGAACTGGACAATGACTAAGAATGACAGAAGAAGAGTCGATGCCTTTGAGTTGTGGTGCTGGAGAAGAGTCTTGAACATACCATGGACTGTGAAGGAGACAAATAGGTCTGTCTTGGAGAATGTGAAACCAGGTTTCTTTTTGGAGACTAGGATTTTGAAGCTCCGTCTCACATACTTGGAGCATGTGGCCAGGAGGGACCAATCCTTGTAGAAGAACATCATGCTCTGAAGAGTGGAGGGACAGCACAGGAGAGGAAGACCCTGGAAAAGATGAATTGACACAGTAACTGGGGTTATGTAATGGGGGCAGGTGTTTCTGAGTCAGTGAGACTGGCCCAGGACAGGGCAGAGCTATTGTGCATAGGGTCGCTATGAATCATAGGTGACTCGATGACACATAACAACAACAACAGCAATGTCTGCCCTGTCTTATTCTGGACATAAGAAACCCAGTTGCCATAAAAAAAAAAAAGAAACCCAGTTGCCATCAGTTCAAGTAAACTTCAGCCCACGTTGTCAGAGTAGAACCCACAGAGGTTTTTTTTCCATAGCTAATTTTCCTAGTGTAGGTCGCTAAGCTTTTCTTCCAGGGTGTCTCTGGGTAGACTTGAACCACCAGCCTGTCAGCTAGAAGCCAAGAACATTAACCATTTATTCCACCCAACGACTCATCCTGGCCTCACTAGGTACAAAAGACATCTTTGTTGAATGAATGAGTGAAGAACACAGCTAACACTTTCAGGGTTCTCGCAGTGTGGGTTCACACCGATGTCTCTTCTCACCAGAGAAACACTATCAGATTGGTGCTCTGATCGCTGTTTCTCCTGCAGTCATCCAGACATCCTGTGTCAGAGCCAGGACCTCTGACCCCATACTCTTTAGTCTTCACCACTGTGCATGTGCTGTGGCTCTTGCACTTGCAGCGGCTGTGGTGTTGGTTGGAGTTGCATGTGTCCAGTGAGCAAGAGCTCTGCTACTTGACAGCACACGATGTGGTACAAACAAGGCCACTTCTCCTCTGGCTGTGGCTGCCCAGTAGGCACTCACTGCCCCTTGCACCCAGCTGAGCCCCTGAGTGGGCTGTGGTATTTTGACCGGCTTCTTTGTCCTTCAGTATCCCGTGCTGGCTGCCCCTCACATTGGCCAAGTCCTCAACTAGTAGAGGACCAGAGGCCGGCTTCCCTTTGCTGAGTATTTGCCGCTTCCCTCTGTGTACCACACTCTCTCCAGCCCTTGCCCTACCTCTGCCATGTGCATTTCATTGAGCCAACTCTTCTTCAACCTTCAGATCTTATTTGAATATTGAATATCTCATTTACATATTGATCCTCGAGAAATATCTGTTGAATGAGTGACTACATACACGGTAAGCTGGGCTTGTAGATTTACCTCTGATAAAAGCATTGCGTTTTTAAAATAATAAATAACTTTGACGTTGACTCTTTGCTCTCCTGACTGAAAAGGCAGGCAGTGGTAAGGAAATACTGTTCAGTCAGGAGGAAATGCACTGTATCTAGGCTTTTGTGCTGTAAGACATAAACCATAAGCCAAGCCTCGCAGAACAACAGCAAATGAACTAGTTAGCATCGGTTTCTCCTCACAGCAGTCTCATGTTCTCAAGAGTAGAACTGTCTTGATCGTGGCAGCTGTGATAATCTCATTTCCCCTGACTTCATTATAGGATGTTCTTCTCTGGCGGCCAGTGCAGCCATGTTGGCAGACCTGAGGAACTTTTACTAACATTCAAGATATTTCTTGTCATCATTTGTCTTCATGTTGTCCTGGTTACATCCCTGGAAGGTAAGATACCTTTAATGCCTTTTTTTTTCTATGTGTATTTACCCAAAAGAAAGCAGAAAGTCAAACGGAAACTCATACACCAATGTTATTTGCACAGTAGCCAAAAGGTAGAACCAACCTAAATATTCAACAACAGAGAAATGGACAAAGAAACATATTATCTGTACATGCAATAAAATACTACTTAGACAGTTGTTGTTTTGTATGGTCAAGTTGAAACTGACACATAGCTGGTGGGTTTTCAGAGGCAGTTAATCACATGGGAGGAGATTGCCCATCCTTCTCTTGCAGAGCAGCTTATGGATTCGAACCACATGCCTTCAGGATTGTGGCACAACTTCTTACCACTAAGCCACCAGAGCTCCCTACTTAGCCATAGGAGAAATCAAGTCTTGATACATACTACAGAGTGGAAATACTGTATTACTTCACTTATAGCAGGGGAGAAATCAAGTCTTGATACATACTACAGGGTGGAAATACTGTATTACTTATAGAAGACAAGGCAATATAGAGACTCCAAATAAGACCTATGGTAGTACTGTGGTTAAGAGCTTGGTTTCTGACCCAAAAGTTAGAGGTTTGAACCTGTCATCTTGACTGGATGCTCAATCTTCATGCTCCTGTTTTCATGCTTTTTTCCGTCAAAGGAGTAGATTGGGCAGGAAAGGAAAAACTTCATCAAGATGAGGTGTCTGCTTCCTTGAAGATTAACAGCCTTGAACAATGTACATGGATGAAACACAATATAGACAAATTACTGTATACAAATCAATAAAAATTAAAGAGTTACAGCCTTGAAAACCCTATGGAAGAGTTCTGCTCTGTCTTCCAGGGTATGAGTCACAGTCTACTGGATGGCAATGTCAATAAGTTATACACCTGTAGAAAGTTGAATTGGCCAAAGTTGTATCTTTACAATGATATATATAAAATTATTATTAAATTATAAATAAATGTAAATAGATATATTTACAATTTATATATATACACAAATATCTATATTTACAATGATCTCTCCTCTTAAAAATAAGTAGTTATTGAGCTGGTTTAGTTCCTTGGTTTGGTGTTTTAGAGTTATGGTTCTCTGGGAACGCCCAGTGACTTGGCCTTCTAGTGTTTTAGTCATTCTGGCCCTGGTGGAGTAGTACATAATGTATCCTGTTGCTAACTCAGAGGTAGGAAGTCTGAATCCACTAGCTGCTCCATGGGAAAAAAGACGGGCAGTCTTTTCTAAAAATTTACACCCTCAGGAATCTGATGGAGGATCACTATGAATCAGAGCAGATTTGCTTTTTTATTTTTTTTAAATAGAATATTTTAATTGTGATTTTAACAAAAGTTTACAGGAAAGTTAGATTTTTTTCATTCATTCATTGTTGCACATTTTACCCTCTCGCCCTCCCTTCCCCCTTCCCAGGTTGACTTATTTTTTTTTAATACTAGTTTATTAAATTGGATTTGCTTTTAGGGTTCCCCCACACCCCCGCATCCTAGTTTGGGGTCTTAAGGCAAAACAGTTGGTCTCTATTCACCTGAGGCAACAAGATGAGGAGAGTCAGAAATAGGAGGATGATAATTGGTGGCTGATTGTCTTTATGAACAAATGTTACTTTTGCCATGAGACCAGAAGAAATGGATGGTGCCCAGCTATCATAACTAAAGTGTTTTGACCAATGATAGTTCTATAGGATGATCTTTATCAAAAGGGGGGAAATACAGCATAGAATTTAAAATTTTCAGGGAATCTAGGATTTCTGGATTCATGAAGTCTTGATGAATCCCTGAACCTATTGCCCTGAGATAAGCTTAAGCCTTAAACTGATAACATCTCCTGAAGTCAATTTAAAACTGAACAGTAGTTTATTAACTAGTTTAAAAGGTCAGCTTTGAGCCTTTTGCTCTTTGAAGAACTCTTTACATGGGACTAGATTGAAAATAGCAACTGGAGAGATTAGATAGGAACCTTAGAGAGCAGTGAGTTATGTTAATGAGGGAGGAAAATCTCAGAAAAAAACATGAGGAGACTAGTTAATACAAATAGAAGAATATAATAAATATCATTAAATTGTACATGTAGAACTGGTGAATTGTATGTTTGTTGTATGAATATGCCCAGTATATTTTCAACAATAACAAAATAAATAAAAGTTAGGAAAGCTATGAACAAAGAGGACAAAGACTCACTGTCAGGGTGAAAATCAAGCATCCCTGCTTTACTGATGAGTAAATGTCCCCGGGGAGGGACATAACTGGTTAGGAAGTGGCAGAGCTCAAACAAGATGCTCGATCTTCATTCTCACGTTTCCGTTCTTTTTTTCCACCACAGGAGTGGATGAGGCAGGTAAGGGAAAGCTTCATCAAAATGAGAGAAGCGTGTTAGGAGTAAGTCATTTAGAAAAAATTCTATGTGCAAGCGCTGAAAACAGGGCCAGGTCAACAGAACAATGAGTGGCTGTAACCCAAGTGGTTACTCAAGGTAGCTGAGTGTATTTTTTTACATTTTTTATTTTAATTTTAGTGTGTGTGTGTGTGTGTGTGTGTGTGTGTACCATCAAATCAGATCTGACCGGTACAGGAGGAGATTGTCCTTCGTTCCCCAGCAGAGCATCTGGTGGATTCGAACCGTGAGCCTCTGGGATTGCAGTGCAAGTGTATTTTCTTTTTTAAAGCTGGATCTCTGATGAACTGATTTATTTGCTGGTTTGTTTTTTTTTACCCCAGAAGAAAGCTTTTTGTTAAAAAAAATTGTTAGGTATATATACATATACACACACAAAACATTTGTCAGATTGAAAATTTTTCACATTTGAAAGTCAATAACATTGATGATGTTCATCGTACCTTGCAACTCTCACCATTATCCTTTCCCAAGCTCTTCATCACCGTTAACAGAAAGTCAATGTTTCTAAGTGGTCACTCCCCCGCCCCCCTCTCCCATCAGTGGTAACCTGGGGAGCGGGAGAAGTTTATTAACCATTAATAAACTTTGACTTCAGTACTTTTGCCCATTTCCTGTAAGTGATGTCAGGTAATGTTTGTCCTTTTGTGACTGACCGACTTTACTCAGTGTAATGTTTTCAAGGTTCACACATGTTGTAGCATGCAGCTTTATATCTCTTTCTGGCTGAGTAATATATAGCATCATATGGACGGACAGTTTAATCATCTATCCACAATGAAAGAGTTTTTCCTTTTCTTTTCAAGGAGAAGAGTGATTTGGAGGGGAGGGGTGGCCAGGGAGAAAAGTACAACAATGAATGACTGGAAATCCTAAGTCTCTGTAAACTTTCATTAAAATTAATAAATAAATTAAAAAAATAATCCATCCATCTGCCTGTTGATGGAAAATAGGGTTGTTTCCACCTTTTGGTTGTGGTGAATAGTGCTGCAGGGAACATGGATAGACAAGTGTCTGTTTGCTTTCCTGCTTTCTGAATTGATTTATTGGTTCTCAAAGTGTGACCTACTCACTGGCAGCATTGACATCACCTGAGAGCTGTTAAAAATGCAGATTCTTGGACTTCGCTCCAGACCAATTTAACTAGACATTCTTCTGTAGGGCCTGATGACAAGCCCTCCAGGTGATGCTCAACTCATAGCTGACCCTCCAGCGGATTTTCCAAGGCAGTAAATCACATAAGATTGTCCATCTTTCTCCCTTGGAACAGCTGGTGGATCCAAACCATGTTCCTTTGTGATGGCAGCACAATTCCTTACCACTAAGCCACCAGAGCTTCCTCTAATGATTTGGGGATATTATCTGTCTCTAACGGACCCTCAGTGAGATGGATTGATTCAGTGACTGGGGTAGTGGAGATAGGCATATCAGAGACAATAAGATTGGCAAGAGATAGAACAGGCTTGTACATACGGTCACTGTGAGTCACAAGTGACTTGACCGCTCATAACAACAAAAAAAACAACCGGACTAATAAATTTGGTCTTTTAAGTCATCACCAACTTGATGGTTCCTAACAGCCTCAATTGTCCTTCAGAAATCCCAGTAAGAGTACTTCTTTTTATTTAACACTCATTTTGATAACACTTATGTATCTGCTGCTATTCAAAGCCCTTACAGAAGGCTAAGTCACTTAGAGGACATTCAGTAGCCTTATTTTTAGTTCCATTTTTTAGGTGAGGAAACCAAGACACAGAAGAGTAAAGAATCTTGCTCTAGGTCAAAAAGCTAAGAAGTTGCAGAGCTGGGACTCAAACGTGGCCTCCCTGGTGTAAAAGTGTGTATGTTTAACTACTATCTTGTTTAGCCTTTTGCTATTCTTTTTTTTTTTTGGTTATAACGGTCGTTTATAAAACTACACATCTGGGTGAGCCCACCTCTTAGGAGGTTCCAGTAATTTGAACAGCTGTGAACACTAAGACATTGGGGGTGCCTTTTGCTATTCTTAACCACTCTACTATGCTAGTTTCAGCTGTGTGGTAGCTGTGCACCTACAGATTTAACATAAAGGTGGCATCCATAATTGTGAGAGTCCTGGACCAGTTGGTTAGATGACCTGTAAGCCTCCTAGGCGTCATCTTCCTGAATACATTCTCTTCCATTCAGGATGGCTTAGAGCTCATCTTTGAGCGATGCTAAGGAGACGGACTTGCTGCTGCTCTCTTAGGTGAGCATTGCAATAGAGAGTGCCAGCTGTGTGCCCAGGACTGCTGGCTGCCGCAAAGACTTCATCTCTGACTCCAGGAAATGCTTGGAGAGAGATGACTCATGAAGGAATCAGAAAGCAATACAGCCTCTAACTACTCCTCAAGTATGAGTCAGTATTATACAGGCTCTAACTTATAGTCAAATTTGTGGAGTCAGATTTGTCACAGATGCTACTGTTCCCCTGCCCATCCCCTCTTGGCCTCCCTGCAGGGTCACCCGCAGACCATTCTCATGGACGCCGACAGCTCCCGGGGCTGCCCTTCTGACTGAAGCTGATCTGTAGTCATGGTGGCGTGCTCGGTGTGTGCATGGAGGAGCTAACACCTCCAAA